CACTTAATTTAACTAACGCAATAGTTTACGCTCTATTCAAATAACGTTCATCTTGATAAAATGCGCTTCGTGTAATACGATCAATGAGTTATATAACACGCTGGAGTGAGTCTTCAAGAAGTGATGCTGAAGAGAGAGAATTATTTTGAACGGGGACGTCTGTCAAGTCTGTCTTTGTTTTTAATATTTTTCACCATACACGGTATATAAATGTGGAAGGAAACATCCTCGCCTATTATTGTTATCCTTCGGTCGCAAACTAAGCATTGGTTCTTATGGAAAAGGCTCACTCCAAAGGTATGTTATGTAGCTCAATGAACACAACAGAGAGACATTGTGAGAGGGAATTGGGCGCTTTGTCCGAGCCATGAGAACACATCGATCCTGTCGAAAACCGTGCGTTAGTGAACAACCGATGAATGAAATTTTGCTGGCGACCAATTCGTCGCTATATCGACGCGTCATAATACCACCACGATTGATGCCATTGTGCTCAGTAGCTGCGTGAAAAATGCACTATTGATTGCGATAAAGTGAATATCGTCGATTCAAGATGAACTTTGACAGGACAATCCAAAACGCAAAATATCATCGATACGTTATTTTAATGGAGCACGATTGAGTGTTCGTGATATGATGTACAATTTTTATCAAGTGTTTTCCTTTCATTCTGTTTTTTCATTGTTTCCGAATAATAATCGTTAGTATGGTAATGTAACATTTTTATAAAAGAGAAAAAAATGTGTAAATTTTTCCTCTCAATTTTAAGCGCAATCCAAGCACAATCGAGTGATATTACAATATTGGTTAATTTTTATCAAATGTTTTTTTTTTTGCTTTGGTTTTCATGGCAGTGATTGATGATGACATAACACTTTTTTGAAAAGAAGAAAAAAAATATTTAAAATCTTTCTCTCAATTTTAAGACAATGTTCCGTCTCTCAATTTGTTTTATATTTTTATGTTAAATAATGAATTTTAAGTTTTTTCACACTCTGTATTTCTGTATTGAAAAAAAAACTCACCTTGTAGACCTCCCAGGTCGCGCTGAACGGCAAGACGGCGATGCCGACCATCAGATCGGCAACAGCCAGGCTCACGATGAACATATTTGTCACGTTCCTCAGCTTGTTGGTGGAATAGACGGCCAGTATAACGAGGACGTTACCGACTATCACCATGATATTGACGATCGCCAGGACGATTAGGGTAACCACATTCCACATGCTCAACCACTCGACGCCGTCGTGCAAAGCAGCGCATGCGGTGGCGTTCAACTCTCGCATTTTAGTTAACTCTCGCGGTCCGTGTAATCCCGTTGAAGGACTCCAGAGGATTTCGCATACAGCAACGACGACGGCAAACGCAAACTCGTAGCGATGAACGAAACATCTCGTATCGCCATCATCGGGGAGGTCCGTCCGCGTTCACAAAGAGTGTTACGTTAGTACTTGTCGGTTATCCGCACTGTAATATTTTTACGATTTTCATAGAACACCAGAGTCGTCGCACCATCGAGAATGCAGATCGAAGACTTTGCTACCGGCCGGATCGATTCACTCGATGACGAGGAGCGAGGCGACGAGTCGCGTGACTGGAATTTGAAAGAAAAACCCGCTGGGTTATCATATGACTTTTGGACCGCAAAACAATTATGCTTCCTTAATGTGTTATCCTGTCGACTCGTAAGAAATCAGTTAACTGTTTTCTCAATTGATTTACATCTTATGAATGCCACCGAGGTAATTCATGTAACTTTTTGTTCCGCAATCAAAAATCGATCGTCGCTTTAAAATGGAGAAAGGAATTACAGCTCGTTCGAGGGATTATTCATGCTGTTTTTTGTCACCGCGGCATTATCGATTTTTCTCTCGAATAAAATGCAATGGCTTTTACACCGGCTACGTAACAAGTTAATTATTATACGCTTTTATTTACTTCTTTTTTCTCTGATATTTCTGTTTAT